GAATATGAAAAGGACAGTAAAGTAAGAGTGTTCAATCCAGTCTTTTTACAAAAAGACATGAACACAAGCTCTGTTTGTTCATGCCCCTTTGTAGAAATCAAAAATAATTTTAAAAAAAAAGGATTTCAGGAAGTCAGCTATTTCAACCCCTTGCATGAGTAAACACCAGCCATTCTGTTCCCAAAGATTTTAGCAAGGAATTTATGCAAAGTCCCTGGTTAGTTTAGGCTCAGTTATTCAAACAGAGAGCAACTACACAGGTCTAACAAAGATGACCAGGCAATTCTTAAAATTAAAAATACGAAACATTTCCTTTTTAAGTTGAACAAAATGTTTTCTTCAGTTTGAAATCACTCTTTTGGAGGAACTCTTACAACTTCCAGATCTATCTAAAATGTTGCCTCGGAGCATCAAAATGAAAAATCCAGTTCTCAGAACAAGATTAGGTAGCTAAAATGCGAGATACACTGCATCACTGTGACGAGAAACCAAAGTGTCTTTTCTTCCTTCTACCCAAGGAGGCGTTAAAAGTCTTCATCAGGAAACCACAAAGTACAAATAACGTCAAGTTTGAGGTATTTGTATGCTTGAGGTATCTATATGTCCTTCCACCCTAAAAGAGTAGGAATGGCAATAAAATACCACACAAACCATTATCAATCACAGTCTCTACAGCGAGACAGTGGGTCAAACCCTAACGCTGTTGTTGAAGAGTACTCAACGCAGGGGCAGAGCAAGGCATTAGCACTCCACAGCACTCAAATTTAAGAGCTGAGACAAAGGACAAGGCCCAGAACCTTACCATCAATAAATAAAGACTGCTGGTTTTCCATCCATTTTCTGAGTTTGAATTCCCAATGCTCAGGTTCCAGTAAGTGAACAATCAGAATTTGAAATGTAGACAGATACAATGGCACATCTCCCAGCTCTCCACTCTATCTCCCTTCCCACAGCTGGACCTTCCCCATGGATACAGAAGGCTCTGTACTGCATCCCTTCTCCTTAGAGGGCACAGCACAGTCCAGCTCTTTCCCTGTCTCAGGTGTCCCCCTATTTTCAGGGATTCCAGCTCCTAACCTCATCCTCACAGCACTTCAGCTGGTGCACTCAGATCCCAAAATGCCTGAAACCCAAATGTGGTGTGGACACAAGCCTGTGGTGAAGCAAGAGGCCATAGAGAACCTTGAGGGAACCCAATTTGATGAAGACCAGGAGCTGCATTCCCAGCAAGGTTCAACTATGCCTGACATGCAGTGTGGGTGCTTCACTGTCTGCCACCACCCACTTCACCTCCCTTGCAGCATCATTCCTGGAGCAATCCCACACTGTCTGACACAGAGCAGGGCAGGTTTATAGTCAGGCTCAGCTTGGCCTGCCCTTGCACTACACAGATGGTCAGGGCTGGACTATCAGTACACCAGACATGTAACATAAATACACACCGTGTGGTCAATTCAGTTCCCTTCCTGATCTGGCCTCAAGGTAAAATTAGTCATTAGTCTCCTCCCATTTTTCAAATGTCTCAGTAAAAGACTGAACACAAGAGCCACAGGCACGCCCAGAACAGCAGGCTAAATTATCAAGTTGTTGCTGGTTCACAGAGCTTTGGTGCCCAGTTCACTTTGAAAATCCAGATGAAAATGCCAGCTACTGTATTGACATTATTTGACCCCAAAATTTAGGTAATCTTAACATAAACACCCAGTTAAGAAACAGAAGTCTTTGAAATGCACAAGAAGAAAGTGAAATCACAACTGATCAGAAGAGACAAAATACACCTGCCCAATATGAATTTTATACACACACATATATCCAACCAATAGCCAGAACAAGATGAGAAACTAATGAAGCTCAAATATCATGAAATGACATTCCAGAAGTAAGGAAATTTTAATTCAAGAGCACAGCTCTCATCTCATCACTGTATCTGACCCTTCTTTACCAACCTTAACAATCTAGGTAGTGATTTTATTCAAACCCACAGGAGGATGAAGAACAATTATTCAGGCATACCTTCCCTACTTAATGAAGGCAGAGACAGCAGTGCCTGCAATCATCCTAATTACTGCTCACAACAGCTACTTCAGCTCCCACTCAATCACAACTCTATTATCCCTTTTGACCACCCAGGTAAGTGCACACCTTTATTGTGACTGAGTAAAAGCAGAACCCGAGAAACATGGAATTAGTATTGCTACACTCCAATGATTTCAATAACTTTTCATTGTAAAGGATGAAGAGGGAAGACAAGAATTTATCATTAGGAAAATGCAAGTGCTTATTACCAGAAGAAAATGATTGCTCCTATGGATACATTATTACATTCATAGCCATGCTATAGCATGATTCTGCCATTGATAAGCTATCCAAAGCCACAGTAGTAAATCCTGTTATTTGATGTCTTAAAATGCAAATATATCCCCTAACAATGTACGTCTATGAGTAAAATTCAGAAAGGACAATGATAGGACAAAAATAATTCCAAAGAATTTTTTTAAAAAATTCAGAACAAAAGTTGCAGCCTTTCTGAGGAATTATAAATGTATTTGCAATTTTCTATGTGCCTGAATTACTTTGTGAACAGAAAAACTTGAAGGTTCTTAGAGACTGTATTAGTGTAGAGACCATTTTGCATCACCTCACTGTGATAAAGTTTCTGTGAAAAACAGACATTTACATAAAAGCAAGTATCTGCTGAAAAGATGTTTCTCTCAGCTTGCATTAAAAACTCTTTAAAGAAAAGATTTTTAGTAATTTTTCACTGACATCAACAGGCTCTTAATTCCACTTGAGGTCCTTAAGGCTTATAAGAGACTTTAAAGAACTGAGGAAAATAAAAAAAGATAAATTTAGGAACCACAAAAGCTATAGTCTTCATACCATTTCAAATATTGGGGCTAAATCCTAAGTTCCTGTACATTTGTTCAGACACCGAGGCCTAGTTTCAAAAAAACAGTCAATGCAGAACCTACCTAGAATTTAGGCACCCAAGTCCTTGGCAATGACCCTGTTTAAGCTCAATGCTCAGTATTGAAAAACTTGTTTAATGCAGTCTCAGTAATAGCCATAAACTATTCTTGGTGAGTGTTTTTCTATTCAGTTCAATAATAAATGTATAGGCAGATCAAGAGTTCTAAAAGAAACTAAGAACTTTACATTCGCTCTTGTCATTTAACCATAGGATAACACCTCCTAACTTTAAATCTTTTGTATTTTTTCCTTTCTGCCCCTCATCTTTGCCACCTTGTGCTGTCACTGTGTTCTGCAGCAAATTATATGACACTTTCCCTTACTGACATATTTAAATAGCTGCTTTCTGACTTTCCCAAGTCAGTGGCGCGGGATACGTATTCTTCTTTTTCCCTTAGTCTGCATTACATAACCCTAAAACCATGATTGCTTCTGAAATAAAAAAGATAACCCCGATTTTGCTTCAAGAGTCTAAGAATTTGACTTACAGTCTTGTATTTTTATGCCAGCAAGACATAAAAAGCCATTCTTGGGACAAACCCACCGTGATCTTTTGGACTCATAGGGGATGCTGTTCACCACATCTGCAACCTGCCACATGCTCTGGGCTACTAAAAGCTGGAATCACAGAATCAGCTAGACCTTCAAGATCATCGAGTCCAATCATTAAAGGTGGATGGTCTAACTCTTATTATACTTTCAGCCACTTAACAGCAAACCTGACCCACTCTAGAGCAGACATTGCTACAGACATCTGCTACAAGAGAGTATCAAAGACTACTGTGCCAAGCTGAAGAGATCACACACAGCCAACCCATGTGTAAAGCACCACCAGAGAAGTTCAGGAATTAATGCTGCATTCAACAGAAACTGCAGCTAAATTCTGAGTAAAAATATTACAGCACCTTTATCTGGTAGAGGGACTGGAAGAGCAAGTGGAATAAAGCACCTGTAAATTTCACCTGCTGCCCATTAAATAAAGAGAAAATATCAAAAAGTACAATATCTGTGTGATGAAAAAGACATCTGATATGCTTAGATTATCTTAGTCCCTACACAACACTATCCTAATAACAAGAGAATAAGAAAATAGTCACATTAGAACAGCTTTGGACTCCATTAACTGGTATGATTTACAGAATAGAAAGGAATTGCAGCTTCCCAAAAAGGAAACAAATAGCTGTATCATACAATTGCCCTCTCAATGTGCTTGATGAATCATCTTGAGTTATCTTTAGATAAGAACAGTATGTCTACAGAAAATGTTTACAGACAAAAAGCATGGAATTAACACTGTGTACCCATATTAACACTACCCGTCTCCATAGTCTCAGGAATTAACTTCCAGAGATAACAAATGCCAAATCCATTTGTCAAACCTAAAAGAAAAGTTATTTTTAAAACACAAACTATATTCCTTTTCAAAAAATTCACAGCTGAATTAGCCTATAAGCATGCCAGACAACCAGATTTCTGGATTTACCCAACAGTACTATCTTCCCAACCTAGCAATTCGGTAATTTTTACATTTGTAACTTGGTGCTCTTACACTCCACTGATGTTAACACTCTACTTGAAAACAACACTAACAGATTACTTACATTTTAACAAATTATTAATTAAATTGTTGCATTCTACAGGAACAGAGATTACAATTTCAAACTCTGCTCTAGGAAGTGGCATTAGGAAGAAACTCTTGTTGCTGGCACAGGAAGGATTATGTCTGTCCTGAACTAGTGATGGTTCACAATAAGTATAAAATAATCTAAACATGTATCTGTGATAGAGCACTTGCTACAGACTTTAGACACAAGCTATTGTATATAATACAATACCTACTCATTCTGGGAATGTGTATTTAGTTTTTACTTAGATTTATGTAGAAAAATGTCCTTTTCAGCCTTTTAAAGAGCATGTCGAGAAATACAGGTTAAACTCTAACTGACACTAATTATGGCTTAAATTCAAATATACTCTAACAACAGGCTTTGAGACAGACATTTCAAAAAGGGAAAAGTCTGGTGCCTCACGTTGTTGATGTACTCGGAGAGCAGGTCCTGCAGGGCCTGGCGGATGGCGTTGCACTCGGCGATGATGCGCTCCCGATGGACATCCCGCGTGCACGAGGAGTCGGCCAGCAGAGCTGCTCCACTTATAATGGCTTCCAGACGTTTCTCTAGGGAGGGCCTTATTGTCTCCTCATTCACTACAAGAGGATCCAGGACAATTAAATTCTGCAAAAAATAAGGAGTCCGGTTTAGAAAAGTCAGCCCAATCAGGTTACTGCTCTATTTTTTACTTGCATGAACCACAGTGACATTGTGCTTCCTAGACTTGCAACCAGCCCTTCCCACTGGAAGGTCAAAAAACTTTTGACCACGGCAGATTCTGTTTTCCCTAGTGGGGCTGTGCATAGAGATCATTTGTAGACAAACCCAAATTGTCTCTGCCATTCAGGTCTCACTACTTTCTAAGCCAGTTATCCATGTTATCAAATCCTCAGACCAGAGTCTCGGCTTTGTTTGAAAGAGGGGTTCAACACCTCCAAACTTTAGTCTTTTACAGATCAGGAGAACCTCTGGATTTACCTCAAAAACAGCAGTGCTAGCTCACAGCTGAGAATGTCACATCAGATTACATGAGCAGTCTCCTTCTGCTGATTTTTAGCCTGATACAATCCCACACTGTGACAAAGTCACTGCTGCTACCTTTAACAGGCTGAATATGTGCAAAGATAAAAAACAGAAACTTTTGTTTAACAATTGCTTTTTTGCTAAGGACCTAGATATAAGTGTCCTTTGCTTTTCAGTAGGTAGTGTAAACCAAAGCAGACAACTCTTTTGGCTTGATAAAATTAATAACATTTGTGCGTCAAGCAAATAAAGGAGAGAGGATATTTTCATGAAATGTGAAAGTAAGTATATTTGAGCTGCAGCATTTAAAGAAATACAAACTAGTAATTTTTAATGTAACTGAATATGTGAAACAGTGCCATTATGGTTCTGACCACCAAACCTCTACTCCACATACACCCATTTACCTCTTACACCCGCAGGTAGTTCAAACATTTCAGAAGAAGTATCAAACAAGAAAACTATGCCATATACCATGAAGTGGAATTTTTCTGTTACCTATTCTGAGATACTATAAAAAGTCTAAAACTGAGATCCTGGATTTGTTCCAGGAAGTGAAAGGATAGACCATTAAAATGGTTTATGGGTCTATGTCAAGTGTTCCTGTGTATCCAGTCGATGTAACCGCAGATTAAGTTAAAGCAATAACTGTGTATTTCCAAGTTCCTGGATTTTCTCAAAACAAGGTTCACCTATCCAGATACAATAACAGTGAAAAGGAATTTATGTGCAAGCAGGAAGGAAAGAACCTCATTATTCTGAAGATTAAAAACACAGCTATTTGTATATCCATAAAGCAACATAATAACCTAATTAATTAATTCCTAATTCAAAGATGTAAAAAATATGCTGATCATGGAAATCTGAATTTTACATACAACTATGGATCCAAAGCCAAACTGGGATAGAACAGTTTGCCCACTCACAAAGACAGAGGAAAGCAAACAGGCAGTTCACTGCTTTCGTCCTCTTTTGCAGAAGTTGGAGCCAGTTAAGAACCACTCAACATTTAAAAAAAAAAAAATAGCTGACTTTTGCCTTCTCCAAACAGGAGAGAAGAAAAGCTGAAATTTTGCCAGGGTCTGGCAGACCCTGCCATGAAGGCCAAAATACAAAGGAAAGAAAGAGCACTTGGACAGAATAAAGGAGGCTTGCTCTTCTGCTCTGAATACCTCTACATTCCCTGACCTCTTGCTGCCAGTGGATGGAAGCTGCAGCACAGGAAGTCATTTTGCTTTTGCAGGCAACTTCCTAATTGCCAACGTCTAGAGTCAGGCCCGATGGGAGCAGCAATCCAGCTCTGTGTTGTCACCAAAAGCCTTCCTTTCCTGGAGCAGCTGTTTCCACAGAAGGAAGGAAATGCACCTGAAGACACTTTTCTGGAAGAGTGAAGGCAGTACGATACCACTTGTCCACAAGGAGAACTCAGAGACAGATTAAAAGTATTAGCATAGGGCATCCATTTTTCTGTTCTTTTCTTTGCTGAGCTTCATTACAACAGTGAGAGAAGGGCTGGAAGCAAAGAAAAGCTGCACCCCGTTTACCTGGAGAAAAGCTGAGTTACTACACATCTCAAACACAACAGGCATGGCAGGAAATTAGGGAAATGCAGTACAGGGAATTGTAAGAAAGTGGTATGGAGTGCCATTAAGAAGTCTGAAATGCAGGGGAAATTAATCCCTTTTAGCTGTCACCTCAGTAAGTAAGAATACGTAACTTTAAAAGCAGAATCAAATAGTTCTCAGCAGTAGAAAATGTGTTTTCCTGCCTAACAAGCATCGAACAACTCCATTATTCAGATGTTTGTTACTTCAGCTGTATCCAGACATAGCAAAATTAAAAATGAAGTAGCTTCGACTTTTATAACTAGCACATTAATATATATATATTTGGAAAACTGCATAAAACTAGCCATTAGTGTTCAAATATTTACATTTTAAAATTATATATAATTAACTTGCACCCAAAAGACAAGTTCACATTAATCCTATGCAGAAAAGACTCGTCCATATCAATCTTCTAAGAATGACAAGGGAAGATCTTCTAAGATATAGTCAGTTCCAGAGGTCAGGAGATTCATTTCTGATGTGGAAGAAGGTGTTGGAGATTTGAAACTCTGCCTCCCTCAATCACAATTAGAGCCCTTAATACCGAAGTGTTCTGTGGTACTTCAGATCAGCTGAATTTTTGCCACTTGGTCCTGGAGCAGCAACTTTCCTTTCAAGCTCCCAGCTAAGTCCCCTCATGCCAGGCTATATGTACAATGTCCATTGTAATGCAAAACACACCTGCCAAGTACAATATTGAAGTGTTACTGCACTAAAAAACAGCTTCATTGATTGTGGAAGATTAAGACACACCTAAAGGCTACAGCCAATTAGCCATTTAGCTAGAAAAATGACTGCCTTCAAATCTCAGATGAAACAGAGGCAGAAATGTCTTCCTTTGGGAGACAGTTTGTAGAAAGTTCATGCCAAGATGGACCAATAGCACTGACAAAAAAGCTACTGTGGTCCATCACCAAATAATCAGAAACATCTAGGCAGCAGTAAACAGGAAAATACGAGTTAAGACTCTGCCCACAGATTAAATTCTTCAAACAATTTCACCAACTATCTATAAGTAAATCTACGCAGAAAAGACCCAAGGAGGAGACACCAGCCATGGCACAGGCAGTCCTGCAGTTCTGCTTTAAGAGGCTAAAGAGTGCTCAGCTACCTGAGCTCTTAAGCGTAAGTGAGCATTTAAGAGGAGTTATTAGATCCCTGTTTTCTCCCTCACTGGACTTCCGATGCGTGAAAAAAGAGAGATCACAGGTATCCAGAAACTTCGTTCTGTTTCCTGAAGTTTTGGACTGATTTACAGCCTTTGGACATCATTAAAGGACCACAGAGCAGCTGAACACGCTGACAGAGCCAGGCATGCGACACCTGGATCATTTCGTGACAAACCTCTTTACATTCAGAAGATGCAAGAGCAGGGAAAGGCATCAGTTAACCTGCACCCACACACTCTTCTCACAGATCTTAATATGCAATTAAATTTTAAAGTTCCAATTTTGCATTTATTTACAAATGGCGTGGGAGTTATTTAGAGCCTTTCAGAGAATCTACTGATTTAAGGGTTAGCTGCTCTAATTTTACTGGTGGTTTCCTCACCTCTAAATCTTTAATAACTTCCACACTGCCAGCACTGGCAAAGGAAGAATGACATTGCAGAACATGTAGATACTAGATGGTTGGGTAGGCTCCGTGATACATTTCCACACTATAAACATTTAATGAGATTTGTTCCCAACAGACTATTTACTACATCAGTCTATTTCATGGCACTGGATTTGCAACAAGAAGATAGAGCAAAGGTTATTTCAGGTCCTTAGCCAATAGAGCTGTCTGTAAAGAGAGAAGAGTGCAACTATCTAATTCCTAAAATCATTTTAAGTTAAATGCTCTATAAATTTTGCTTTATCTAATTCACACGTCTTCAATTCCCATTTGTGGTATTTAGGTAAAAATATATTTAAAACTCCATAAACAAATGGCTTTTTACAACAGTTAGACTTCTATGTTCTTATGTTTCCAAATAAAAATAAATTCAATGCAAAATACTATTTTTCCATTTTCTGATTACCACAAACCTCAAATTTTAGAACTATAATAGATTTTATCACATTTTTTAAATTATTGAAATGGTACTGCTCACGTACAGTCAAGATGAATTCATCTGTGGTCAGAAAATGCAACCTTTTTGCCAAATTTTTTAAAAAAATTTGTAAGTAAACCAGGTAAATAATAGCTCTCATTTAAAGTATACATTTTTCAGTCAGAGCTTCATTGTAACATATCATGTATTACTCTTAAATGTTTCTCTTTTTTTCTTCTATTTATTAAGAAAATAGGTTAGAAATTGTAATTTTAAAACCCAGTGTGAGAAGCAAGGAGGGATGACAGGTAATGTGCTATTGTAGCCTGTTCCTTTAGGGGGAAAAAACTTCAAGCACAACTGAGAGGTCTGTTTTGGTCAATAAACTGCCACCACCAAATCTGTGTGATATTTCAGTGTATTTCTTTAATCTGCCACTGAAAATTTTAGGCAAAGTCTACTACCATCAGTCATAACACCAATTCTTCTGAAAACCTATCAACAGTATTGGAGTTCTGAGACTGAGATTTGCTAAGCCCAAGAATTTACAATCAAAACCACAAATATTTGCAAATGTGTTTAGAAACATTCATTGCTTTTGTTGGTCTGGGCCTACATGAGTTACAGCAGATGAGGATTATGGTCTGTAATCCCATCTACAGGAGATCTTTTACCAGTTTTGGCAGGACAATGGAAAATGAAACTGGTAAGAGCCAGAGCAGCCACAAGAAAAGGGAGAAGCTCCATACAAAAGCTTAGGATGAGAGCAGGAGTAGAGAAAGAGCTGCCCTTCTCCAAGTATTCACTTAAATAATGGAAGCAGAAACACAGAATTTGTGAAAGCATATTGGTTATGTCACTTCATAACAAGCAGATGAGGTTTCTAAATTGTTCAATGATATAAATTACAGAATGACAGAGGAAAGGACTTCAGCTTGTGTGGTACTGGTTCAAATGCAGTCAAGGCAGCAGTGATTGCTGCCAGCTCATAATCACTGATTAGTAAACTCAACTCATGGCTTCTGCCCACTTACCAAGGACTCACCTGCCTCCAGCACTAGCAACACACTTGGAACTAACTCTTCCCCTTCCATTTCAGCCAAATGTTGAACACACTAGAGACTTAATTCCAAATTCTTCTGAAGGGAGAGATCCCTTTCAATGAAACAATTCCAAGTGATACTATTTAGACTCAGACTAAGCAGAGCATCAATTTCCAATGCCCTTAGGCCCACCACTTATGTCATCAATAGTTATTAAAAAAAAAAAAAATTCCAAAAACATTGTAGTCTCACAGGTTTACATACCTCAAGCTCATCAAGTGCACTTCCAAGAGTAGCTGTGCGAGAGGTAGGTTGTTCCATTTTATTTCCAACTCCTTGGGAAGCATTAGAAATTGCATTGAGAGCATTCTGTATTTCATTGCAAATTGAATCCTTGCTGGCTGTAAGGGATGCAACATCTGAATGTTCCAAACAAGCTGAACATATTGAATGTAGGAAAGAGGAATTTTCCTTCAGGGATGCACGTGCTGCAGCAATCTCATCTCGCTGACTGCTAGATTTCAAATCCTGTCAGCAAAAGAACATGCTGTTTATTTCCAAAAGCACTTCAAAACTGACAAGTAATGTATAAACAATTTCTTTCCTACCTCTACTCTGTTTAAGGAAACATCAAGTTAAATTCATCAAAGATTGTGAAAATGGGCTATAACAGTACTTACAACTGAATCATCTTTATGCCATGAGAAATGAACCAAGTCTGTGTAAAACAACCACAATTTTTATTGTGGCTTACAACCAACACCATGAACTGTGTCTGTCTTGTTTTTAAGCAGTTCTTCTCTGAGAAAACTGGCCTGGAAATTTGCTGTCTTTCCTCCCAGACAAGTCTTTCTTCATAAGCAATGGAGAAGGACAGAGGTGCAGACAGAGTGAAGCAAGGCATTGTGTAATTGTTGCATTCAAACAAATTTCCTGGGTTTTCTTCCCTGCCCCAGCAGCCTATGTCCCAAGTACACTGTAGAAAGGAACAACGGGTCAGGGATAAGAATCCTGCACTCCTGGGAAATGGGAAGCCTGGAAAATGTGGAAATTAAAAATGTGCTTGAGAAAAGCCATAGCTAAAGTATTACTGCCTGTTTCTCCTCTCTTCCTGCTGTGTACACACTTAAAGCATTCAGGGATCCTACCACAATCATCTTATTCCCCCCTTCTCCACCCATATCTTCTTGAAACCCTACTGCCTCCCACCAGCCCAGACAACAAAGGACACACAGCTGGGACAGAGCTACCAAGGCAGATTTAACTGGATCCAGGAATCAAGCCTGGGAGCTGTTATTTGGAAAGCTGAAAGTTATGGACTTTGGGACAACCACACAGTCAACATCAGGATTGTAAGGAGCCTCCTTTTCCATTCTATTTTATTCCAGACATTCTCCCACTCTCCTTCTGCATCTTGTCCCTTTCAGAAACACTAGTAGATATTTGCAAAATGGCTTGGGTGAAGGAGATAATTAAACTCAGGGGGAAAATTAAAAAGGAAGGGAAAATAGCACATCAGAGCCTGTGGCACCAGCTTCAAACAATGAGAAGAGGCACAAGGAAGAATGAACAACACAATGCATACAAAACTTCTCCAAAGGCTACCCTAAAGCAAGCTGAAGTCCAATTATTTTCCTTTGCATTGCATCAGTCTCTATATGCATTATTTACAAAAGCATCACAGTATCTACTTCTCACTGCATAAAGTTTGTAAGTTTATGGCTGAAGAAAAGAGCATTCAATATTAAATGAACCAGTCCTATGTTTTTAAAACCTCATTTACTCCAAGATATGCATTGGACATCGGATTGCATCTTACTTCCCCAGGCTAACTTGGAAATCTCAGGCATACAGTAAAAGCCAAACAAACAAATGAGAGAGAGAGCTGGAGACTTAAACAGAGTCAGAGAATTGTTTAACCAGCTGATATCTGAATCAGAAAACAGAGTTTTCTTGAGTGTATTAACACACAACAGATTTTAACATTTTTAATAAACCAATACATCAATGAATCACCACTCTGCAAGAATGACTTCATTGCCCAGTGTGTTCAAATCCAAATACTACTGCACCTCCAAACACAGTAAAGCGTCTGTGCACTGGACTTTTTCAGCAAAGAGCATTATTTATTTTTAAACAGGCTCTTGCTCTAAGTAGTGAATCTATCCTTCCTACAATTATATTATAACACAGCCCACTAATCTCATTTCTCCTGGTGCTGCAAAGGAAGCCACAGACCTCGAGATACAACGGGAAGTCACCACAATACTTCAGTCTAGCCACCTTCTATTTATTAACGATTTCTTACTTTGCTGCATCAAACACAAACAGTGAAACCTGAAAGTCCTTCAAAGTGACTGTTTCCCTCTAAAACAGTACTGTCTAACCAGGATCGGGGGGTTCATAAGAAATCCCAAAATAAGGGAGAAAATAAAACCCTGCTCCTTATCACACATAATATATCTAAGGTTTGACAGCACAGAACACCAGGAAGCCAGCTCTTTTTCCCTGAACAACTCATGGGGTCTGGGCATCACTGTGGGTACAAATCAAACAGCCCTGTTCTGCACCAGCTGCAGTCAACAGCAGCTTCACACAGACAGCCTCAAACAAAGTGCACTGCACTTCTCCAGCTTGCTCTCTTCAGAGACAGATGTTATTGAACCAAATTCTGTATCCAGAAAAAACACAGGCATACAAACCCCCACAATTTCATACTACTATAGAACTAGGAGACAAAAGCATCAGTTTTTATCACAGCTTAAACCTAGGCTTTAGCATTCAGCTTTCAGTCAAAACTGACTGCCAAATTGTGTGCAGTTGGTGAATCAAAGACAATAACAGAGCTCAAACTCTTCCAAGTGCATTCATGTGCTGTTCATCTGGGCAAGGCTCCAGTTTACATATTTCGTAAGCACTGTGTTGTCCTATTCAGTGGAAGAAAGTATCTCACAGACAAGAAAGTGAAAAAGATCTGGGGCTGACACGGAGTGCCGGGGCTCTCTCAGCTTGACAGTTCTGCCAAGAGAACGGTTTCACACGGGTTTTAGGTCTTACACCCACCCCTCAGGGCCAGCCTTGTCTGGGAGCTGTAGCCACGCTCATCCCTGGGCCCTGCAGCCCCAGTTCCACACACCCTGGGACCCTGAGTCCCTCTCCAAACTGTGCCATAAGGCTGCTGGGCTCCAGCTCAGCCACAGCTGCCCCTGCCTGGCCATGGACCCAGCCCACAGACTGACCTCCTGAGTTCCACCTGGCCCTGTCACCACAGAGCTTCTGAGATACCATAGGGCTGTCTCTCACCTGGATCCACGGACTGACCTCACAGCTTGTCCCCCCCCGACCTGCCTCATCACACAAACTTTCCTGAGACATCACTAGATCATAGAATTGTGCTACACTGACTACCAAAAGTTCCCCTTACAGGCATTCACAGTGACTTGACTGTGACAGTTTGCCAGTAAATTCAGAACTGCACTGAATCACAGGAATTTGTTTCAACACACCTCTGTGCATTTCTCTTTGACTGAATCAAAATCCTGCCATTCTCTCTAGAAAGCAAACTAGTAGATCTTTTGGTGTTGTAGAAATGGAAATTCACAGGAAACTCTTCCTAAAGACATCATTTACTCCTTCATAGAGAATACCTGTGTTCCCAAAGCCAGTTCATTTGCATTTTGTTTGTCTGTTTTAAATACATGGGTTTCCAGAGATTATTCCAGTCCAAACAGGTGGATGAAATAAATTGATACTGTTACACTTCAGAACCATAAAAATGTTTCCTTTCTCATTTCTCTTTTCTGATAGACAGGCAACCCAGAAATACTGACAATCCCCAAAACAACAGCGTTTGCAGGCACCACAGAAGGAAGCCATTTTCAGAACTGTATCTTACAGACTGACCAAGTCTGGAGATGAAAATAGGAGCCTATGCTTACAAAGCATCATCATAGTATAAGCTTGGTTGTGAGGAATTCCAAGCTAACTTTCTACTAAAAAAGTCTTACCAGCTTCTAGATTCATTTTTTTCTGACTTCAGAAGTCAGCAGCAGTTCTTAGTGTCTCATGTAGTATAGTGGTATCATGTGTACAGAGTATAGAAATACCATATAAACACACAAAAAATACATATACTCTGTATTGCTAAAACTGTAGGCAGTTCATTTGCATCAGCCATATGCAGGAATACACAAAATGCGAAGCGTTAAAGTGCAAATCCATGCCAATGTTATCATAAGACTAAGCAATACCCTCTGCCTCTGAGATGACTCAGCAGTCTTTATAAATCCATATCTTTCAGTCAACTTAGAGTCAGCAGGAAATGGATTTACAGGACTGAGCTTCCCAGTAGAACTTTGTATCTATACCTTCGCATCTTAAAGCCAGCCAAAGAGTCTGCCCACTGCTACAAGGAAAAAGAAGCAAACATTAAGTATAAATAACTGAGTATTCCTTTTCTCTGCTTTAACTTGGTCAAGAGGAGATTCAGGATAAGTTCACCAAATTTTCAACAGTACAAATGGGAAGCCAAATCATAAAATACTTCAGATAAAAGTCTTAACCATGAAACCTTCCCCTGGCAGAGTTTAAGACTGAGCCCTCTTGCCCTACTGCTGGTTCCTCGGAGAAGAGCCCAACCTCCACCTGGCTACAACCTCCTGTCAGGGAGTTGTAGAGAGTGAGGAGGTCTCCCCTGAGCCTCCTCTTCTCCAGGCTGAACAGCCCCAGCTCCCTCAGCCTCTCCTCACGGGACTTGTGCTCGAGTCCCTTCACCAGCCTCATTGCTCTCCTTTGGACCTGCTCCAGCCCCTCAATGTCCTTCCTGAACTGAGGGGCCCAGAACTGGACACAGTACTCGAGGTGTGGCCTCACCAGTGCTGAGTACTGGGGAAGAATCACTTCCCTGGACCTGTTGGCCACACTGTTCCTGATGCAGGCCAGGATCCCATTGGCCTTCTTGGCCACCTGGCCACACTGCTGGCTCATGTTCAGCTTCCTGTCAATCCAGACTCCCAGGTCCCTTTCTGCCTGGCTGCTCTCCAGCCACTCTGTCCCCAGCCTGTAGCGCTGCAGGGGGTTGTTGTGACCAAGGTGCAGGATCTGGCACTTGGCCCTGTGGAACCTCATCCCGTCGGAATCAGACCAGATTCTCTCTGAAGAGCCTTCCTGCCTTCCAGCTGATCAACACTCACCCCCAGGTTGGTGTCATCTGCAAATTTGCTAATGGTACACTCAAACCCCTCATCCACATCATCAGTAAAGATATTAAACAGGACTGGGCCCAACAGTGATCCCTGAGGGACACCACCAGTGACCAGACACCAACTGGACACAGCACTGTTCCCCACCACTCTCTGGACCCAGCCATACAGCCAGTTCTTAACCCAGTAGAGAGTACTGAAAACTCTCTTATTTCATGGTCACTGTGCCCCAGACGGCCTCTGACCACCACATCTCCCACCAGCCCCTCTCTCTTTGTGAACAGCAGGTCTAGCAGGGCCCCATCCCTGGTAGGCTTATTTACCAGC